TGGAAGCCTGAGATGGATCGCCTGAGCCCAGCAGGTCGAGGCTGTTGTGGCCATGAGCGTGCCACTGCACTCCAGCCTGGGCAATAGAGTGAGACTCCAACTCAAAAATAAAATAAAATAAAAAGGGGGAAAAAACATATGTGACTTGCAAAGCCTAAAATATTCCATAACCGTCCCTTTATAAAAAGTTTGCCAGCCAGGCTCGGTGGCTCAGCCTGTAATCCCGCGCCTTTGGGAGGCTGAGATGAGTGGATTGCCTGAGCCCGCGGGTTTGAGACCTGCCTGGGCAGTGAGACCTCATCTCTCCAATAAATCAAAAAGTCAGCCAGGCGTGGTAGTGCATGCCTGTAATTCCGTCTACTTGGAAGCCTGAGGCGGAAGGATCGCCAGAGCCCAGCGGGTCAAGGCTGTGGTGACCGGGAGCGGCCACTGCACTCCAGTCTGGGCGACAGAGTGACACTCCAATTCAAAAAAAAAAAAAGTTTGCCTATCCCTGTCTCAAACCAAAACAGGTCTGAAAAATCTAGGTTGCGCTCACATTTCTAAGGTATTTGTTGTTGTTCTTGCAGTTGGTGGTACTACATCAGTAAAAGGTTAGAAACACCTTGATGCCATCATTTTTCCTCTGTATAAAGGCCGTTGTCCATATATCTTCTGGCAATGTCAGAGCTGCTAAATATACTGCAAGAAGCAGTTACAGGTACCTGAGCAGGACATAGGCAGTTCTGTTGAAAATGTTCTGTATCTGCACTGCCCGCTACTGTAGCCGCTGGCCATGTTTAGCTGTTGAGTACTTGAAACATGGACAGTGTGACTAAGGGACTGCACTTTAAATTGTCTTTAGTTTTAATGAGTTTCAATTCAGAAGAGCCAGATGTGGCTCATGGCTATGATATTGGACATTGTTTATGTTTCAGAATTTTTTTTTAAATACTCCAGGATAGTCTTGATAAATGTTAGATTTTTCTTAACAAGACTGAAATGCAATAGTGTGTTGGAGATCATCTGGCGACAATGGTTCTTGTTTCTTTCTTCAACCCTCCTTGTGCACAGACAACAGCTGATATTCCTACTTGGTGTGAGCAGTCTGCAGCTTTTCGTTCAGAGTAACTGGACGGGGCCTCCTGTCAACTTACACCCGCAGGATTTTTTGCCATCTATTTTGTTTGAGCAATTCAGTGAGGTAAGCTTCTTGAAAATATTGTAGATAATTATGATCTATGCAAACAGATCTTTATAAACTGGAGTTAATAGTAGGTGGGAAAGAAACGGCTTGCTAGCTCATTCAGAACTACTGAGCATGCTTGTGCATTGACCAGATTTTCAAGTATTTCCAGAAGCTCTATTGTCATTCTCAAGCTCCTTCCTCTTCAGACACTCTCCATTCATGGAGCTCTGCTAGCTACTCTTTTTATTAACGCACAGACAGCTGCACCAGTCACCTGGTTGCTTAAATCACCCCAGTTACACAAAGATCTTTTCTGGCAAAGGAGCAAACCTGGAGAACTGTTTAATTTTTGGGGGGGTTGTAGTCTCACTCTGTCAACCAGGCTGGAGGGCAGTCGCACACTCCCGGCCACTGCAGCCTCACCCTGCTGGACTCAGGTGATTCTTCTGCCTCAGCCTTCCAAGTAGCTGGAACTACAGTCATGCGCCACCATGCCCATCTAATGTTTTGATTTATTGGAGAGATGAGGTCTTGCCATGTGGCTCAGGCAGTTTTCTCACCTTGGCCTCCCAAAGTGTTGGGATTACAGACGTGAACTACTGCACTTGGCTTACTTGTTTGTTTTTTACATTGGGATTTCATTTAGTAGGTTATGCCCTGAAATTTGTGGCAGAACAGATATGCTTCTTGTCTAGAAGTGATTGGAATAAGGATTCTTTTTCTTCAAGGTATGCCTTGTATCTCCTTGGGCCTTCCCAGTTGGGATTGGACTTTCGACAATAAGACTCGTACCCATCTGATTTACAGGGCGATTCTGTGGGGCTGCAGGCCCAGTGTGAGCACATCAGACAGGGTCTTCTCTTGAGTTCTCAAGTCAGTAAATTCACTGTGCGTTGAGTACCTCTACTTGGGTTCTCACAAGATTCCATAGACTTATGCCCTTGAGTGTGCTCATGATGAGGTTCCTCTCCAAGCCAGGGCCTCTTCCTGGACCTGCATCCCTGTTACTATATAGTGCCAGTCAGAAGGCTAGAAGTCGTCCAGGCCCCATCCTTGAACCCCACCCTTGGCTTAGTACAGCGCTGGGCCTTGCTAGGGACAGGAAGAAGTAGAGAGATCTGTGGGAAAGGCGGCACTTGGTGGTAGGAAGACTTTGGTTTGGGCGTTGGAAAATCTGGACTTCACTCAACTTCTAGGGGTATGTTTCCTCACTTCTAAAACTGAGGCACTTGTGATAACTTCAAAGTAGTTCCTTAATTTTGTAGATTAAAAAAAAAATCTACTCTTTTTTTTTTTTTTTGAGTTGGAGTCTCACTCTGTCACCCAGACTGGAGTGCAATGGCCGCTCCCGGCCACCGCAACCTCGACCTGCTGGGGGCTCTGGCGATCCTTCCGCCTCAGCCTTCCGAGTAGCTGGAAAAAATCTACTCTTAGTGGAGATAACAGTAAGCTTTCTTTGTTGTTTGATGGTAGTAATTCATGTTGTCTTTATTTCTTTTTTTTTTTTTTTTTTTGAGTCAAGATCTCACTCTGTCATCCAGGCTGGAGTACAGTGGCATGATCACGACAATCACAGCTCACTACAGCCTTGACCTCCTGGGTTCAGGTGGTCCTTCCACCTCAGCCTCCCTAGTAGCTGGGACACAGGCCTGCACCTCCATACCTGGCTAATTTTTTAATGTTTTGTAGAGACAAGGTTTCACTATGTTGCTCGGACTGGTCTTGAACTCCTGGGCTCAAGCAGTCTGCCCACCTCAGCCTGCCAAAGTGTTGGGATGAGCCACTGTGCCTGGCTATCTTTATTCCTTTGTCACACTCTTGAATGATTATGAAAGGACGTCAGAAGATGAACCCCAGTCAGAATAGTTTGTGTTGAGCCAGGCCCTGGGATTATTTAGCTTAATCCTTAAAAGAATCTTCTGAGGTATGGATTCAGTTGTTTCATTTCATTTTTATTTTTATTTTTTTAGAAAGCAGGACTTATTGAGAGGACAGAAAAGCTCCCACAGTGGGGGGTGGGGTGGGGACCTGAAGGGGTTGTCCTGTTTCATTTTTTTTTTTTGAGTTGGAGTCTCACTCTATCACCCAGCCTGGAGTGCAGTGACCGCTCCCAGCCACCACAGCCTCGACCTGCTGGGCTCCGACGATCCTTCCGCCTCAGCCTTCCAAGTAGCTGGAACTACAGGCGCGCGCTACCACGCCCGGCTCATTTTTTGATTTGTTGTAGAGATGAGGTCTCGCCAAGTTGCCCAGGCGGGTCTCGAACACGCGGGCTCAGGCAATCTACTCACCTCAGCCTCCCAAAGGTGCAGGATTATAGGCTGAGCCACCAAGCCCGGCTCTGTTTCATTTTATAATTGATGAAACTGAGGCTTCATCAGGAAAACTTTGCACAGGGCACTGACATGTGTATGTGATGTCAGAGCCCATGTTCCTGATGTTTAAGGGTTCCTGCTGTCTAGTTTGTGGCAGCTGTTAAAATTCTAATTCTAGAAACACAAGTCCTTTATCCTTGTATAAGATCTCGAGATCTCTGTCCGGCGGCAGAGTTTTTACAGGCATCCTTTTTTGCAGCCTTTGCTCACTCTGGTCTATGGTCACGTGTCTACTCATCCCTTGATATGTGAGACCTTGTTGATTGCTTGGCCTCATGGGAGTTGTGGTGTGGAGACGTGCTTTGTAATGACATTGCAAGAGTGAGCGTAAGCGAGATGTAGGTGTTTGATACAAGTGTCAAGTGGAGTATGGACTATAAATACTTTAAAATGGGGATACTTTTTATTGAGGTGATTTTTTTTACAAGTAAATCTGTGAAGCCATGATGACTCTTCAGAGCTAGCATTTCCTTGAGTTCCTGCTTGTCTAAAGTTTCAGCGAATGGGTGACCATCCATCGGGGCAGGCTGGATTTGGGGCTCTCTGATAATTCTGTCCAGTGCCAGTTGCTCTGGGGCAGATTAATCCCTTTGTTTCAAAGCTGAGTTAACTGGAAAATCTGTGTATTATTATAAGACATAGAAAGATCAGCATTTTATTAAACTGTATCTTCTTCATTTACAAACATCTTTCCAGATCAAAGAGCTGGATGCAGCAGTTCTGAGCCTGCTCATTCTGGATGGTGAATCAATTTACAGCCTGACTGTGAAGCCGCTGCTGCTGCTGTTAGCGCGCGTGATCCTGGTGAACGTGAAACAGAGGCTGACAGCTATTCAGGTAAGGCGCCAGGCTCCATGGCCTTCTGCCCATGTGTGACTTCTGTGTTCACTAACACCAGATTGAAGGTGTGGTGCTGACAGTGTCTTGGTGTGTTTTGTTCTCTAAGTCTTCTTCTAGGTCTTTATTTTTTTTAATTTATTTTTAATTTTTTTTGAAGTTAGAGTCTCACTCCATTGCCCAGACTGGAGTGCAGTGGCACATTCACAGCCACCACAGCATTGATCCACTGGGCTCCAGTGATCCTTCTGTCTCAGCCGTCCAAGTAGCTGGAACTACTTTTTTTTATTTACTGTAAAGACGAGGGCTTGCCAAGTTCCCCAGGCTGGTTTTGAACCTGCGGACTCAGGCAATCCACTTGCCTTGGCCTCCCAAAGTGCTGGGATTACAGGCTGAACCACTGAGCCCGGCCTAGGTCTTTATTTTATTTTATCTTTTTTTTTTTTTGAGTCAGAGTCTTACGCTGTCACCCAGGCTGGAGTATACTGGCACGCTCCTGGCCACCATAGCCTCAACCTGCTGGGCTCAGGTGATCCTTCCACTCAGCCTTCCAGGTAGCTGGAACCACAGGCATGTGCTACTGCCACGCCTAGCTAACTTTTTTTGAATTTATTGTAGAGACGAGGTCTGGCCATGTTGCTCAGGCTGGTCTTGAACCCCTGAACTCAAGCAATCCTCTCTCCTCCAACTCCTAAAGTGCTGGGATTATAAGTGTGAGCCACCATGCCTGACCTCGGTATTTATTTTAAAATCTGATTTAAATAAGCAAAAACTTTTCTTCCCTCTTGAGATTAATCGACTATAAAATGAGATGCTATTGAGTCTCTTTAATAGGATTTGAAGGATGTATTCTCAGAATCTTAGATATAGATGTAAAACATCCTTTGTAGTCGTTTATGAATTTTCTAAGGACAGTGACCTGTGGCCACAGTGTGGTGGTCTGAGTTCCTGTTTCCTGGCAGATAGTCTGCAGCCTCTGGTGATCTGGGCTTGATTTAGTGGTGCATTGGCTGAACGTCTGATGTAATGTCTTCATACTACATCATGAGGAGAGACTCCCATACCCATACTACCAATGAGGAGAGACACCCATACCCACAGAAAGCTGGCATGCAAAAGGAGGTTCCCAGACATGAGGAGGCAGTGGGGTTTTGGGGGGCATGCACTGTGGGGTGCGAACTGTTGCGGCTCAGAGAGGCAGCCAGAGATGTCAGGCAGCGGATAGGTGTGGCCGTGTGCCCATCACGCTATATTTATGCACCTTGAATTGTAAATTTCATGTGCTTTTCACATGTCATGAAATACTATTGATTTTTTTCAGTGCTTTAAAAAAGGAAAAACCAGCTGGGCATGGTGGCTCATGCCTGTAATCCCAGCACTAATGGAGGTGGAGGCAAGAGAATTGCCTGAGTCCAGGAGTTCGAGACCAGCCTGGGCAACATGGCAAGAGCTCGTCTCTACAATAAAATAAAATAAAATAATTAGCCGGGTGTGGTGGTGCGTGCCTGTGGTTCCAGTACTCGAAAACCTGAGGCAGAAGGATCATCTGAGCCCAGAGGATCGAGTCTGCAGTGGCCATGACTGTGCAACTGCCCTCCAGCTTGGGCAACAAACAGAGTGAGACTCCAACTCAAATCAAAGAAACAAAGTAAAAACCTCACTTATAAGCATACCCTGAACATTTACCATAATACTATATGAAAGGTATAGGCAGTAGTGGGAATCTGCCAGGGGGTACCTGATCTCAAACCAGGTGAAGTGGGGCTCAAGCTTTACCGATCGATGACTACTTATATACCTAATCCTGAATTATACCCCACATCTTTAAAAAAAAAAGTAAAAACGATTTTGAGTGTCTGGGCTGTGCAGAAGCCAGCAGTGGCTGGCTTTGGCCCACAGGTGTGACTTGCTGGCTCCTGCTATATCTGATTGCTGCAACTCACGCTGTCATGTCTAAATAATACAGTTGCATTTAATGGGAAATCTCCCCATTTTTAAGTGTTGGCCAAACACTTCTAAGAAACATAGTATTTCCGTATGTAAGATGTGGACTTTGTTCTGTGCAAGGGCTCACTTTCCTGGGCACTGAGGCTCAGACACTGAGTTTGTTTTAAAGGAGTGGTGAGAAGGGAAGCTGTGCCTTTGTGAGTAATTCTCACCAAGCCAGAGGGTTTGAATCAGTTGTACTAAAAGGGTTTTGTATTTTTTTTCGAGTCAGACTCTCACTCTGTTGCCCAGGCTGGAGTGCTAGGACATGCTCATGGCTACCACGTCCTTGACTTGCTGGGCTCAGGCAATCCTTCTTCCTCAGCTTTCCAAGTAGCTGGAAACACAGGCAAAAGCCACCATGCCCAGCTAATTTTTTGATTTATTGTAGAGACGAGATCCTGCCAAGTTTCCCAGGCTGGTCTTGAACCCCTGGGCTGAAGCAAGTCTCTTACCTCCGCCTCCCAAAGTGCTGGGATTACAGGAATGAGCCACTGTGCCCGGACTAGAAGGGTTTTTGGTTTTTTTTTTACGTTGGAGTCTCACTGTCACCCAGACTGGAGTGCAGTGGCCGCTTCCGGCCACCGCAGCCTCTACCTGCTGGGCTCCGGTGATCCTTCTGCCTCAGTCTTCCGAGTAGCTGGAATTACAGGCATGGGCTACCGTGCCCGGATGATTTTTTGATTTATTGTAGAGATGAGGTCTCGCTGCCCAGAGCGGGTCTCGAACCTGTGGGCTAAGGCAGTCCACTCACCTCAGCCTCCCAAAGGCGCGGGATTACAGGCTGAGCCACCGAGCCCGGCTTAGAAGGGTTTTTAATAGGTGAGTTTCAACTTGCCTTAGCCAGTATAGGTCCTTATCTTGGATCTTTTAGTGATAGTAGCATGAATAAGACATTTTTCCCTAAGTTGGCTGGGTGCAGTGGCTCACACCTATAATTTCAGCACTGTGGGAGCCTGAGGTGGGAGGATCCCTTGAGCCCAGGTGTTCGAGACAAGCCTAGGCAACACAGTGAGACCCTGTTTCTACAGAAAAATAAAAAAATTTTCCAGATATGGTGGTACATGCCTGTAGTCTCAGCTACTCGGGAGGCTTAAGTGGAAGGATTGCTTGAACTCAGGAATTCAAGACTGCAGTGAGGCATGATTGTGCCACTGCACTCTAGCCTGGGCAATAGAGTGAAATTCTTATACCTTCATGTAATATACTTCAAAATAACATAGTTGTGATTAATTTAGATGATTCAGTACCTGATCATATTTGATACTGTGATGAGCCTATCAGAAACACCTGTTACAACTTGCACACATGCATATACATATGCAGATACATAGAGGAAGTTCTGGAGGGAATATAAACCTTTGTTATGAGTTTTTCTGACATTTGGGCAGTGGAAGAGAGGGGTTTTCACTCTTCACTGTATATGCTTCTAGATTGGCTTGTTTCATATTTTTGTTCTTTCTTTGTTTTGAGTTGGGGACTCGCTTTGTCACCCATGCTGAGGTTTAGTGACACAATCATGGCTCACCACAGCCTCAACCTCCTGGACTCAGGTGGTCTTCCCACCTCAGTCTCCCAAGTTCCAGGACTACAGGCATGCACCTCCAAGCCTGGCTAATGTTTTTATTTTTATAGATATGAAGTCTCGTTCATTACCTAAACTGGTCTTGAGCTCCTGGACTTAAGCAATCCTCCCACCTTGGCCTTCCAAAGTACTGAGATTATAGGCATGAACCACCATGCCCAGCCAGTTCTTCTTCTTCTTCTTTTTTTTTTTTTAATAAGGATATATTGATCAAGTAAGAAAAAGCATCAGAGGATTAAACAAAATGGTACTGTGTGCGCAGCCCATACATTAACTGATATGATGCATAAAATGCTGTCTGTATCCTCAGACATGAATGGTTCAGGTGGAGTTATCATCTCGACAGGCAAGTGCTGGTCCATTGGTGCTGACTTCTAGGAAAGCGTAGAGATTCAGAGAAGCGACAAATGAATGTGCCCATGTAGTGGGAGGAGGCTTCATGGAGGACAGAGGTGTGACAGGGAGCTTCCCAGTACTGGATAGTATCTGACTCTGAGACATTTCTCATCATGTAGTTTGTGTAGAAGTCCTTGCTTTGAGGGAATACAGAGATGGGTAAACATGGTTTCGTGCTGGATAGGTGACACACAACAGTGAGACCTCGGGATGACGTACATGAATGCAGCGGGATGTGTTTCAGGGGGAATACAAGCCACATGCTGTTAGGGAAAAATCACCCCACAGGGGTTCTTGCCGAAGCCACCAGAGGAGTTGGCACTTGGGTTAGAGTGACAGCAGAGGGCCACAGAGCAGGGTGACCACAGCAGACCTCTTAAAGGAAGAGATGGCAAATTCGAAATGGGGTCAGGAAGGCCAAGTGGCTGAAAGAAGCAGTCTTTATGAGAATGAAGGTGTGGTGTTATTCTTAGACACAGAAGTGGATTTGTGTTCTTATTGAGAGCAGCAGTGGGTGCGAACGCTTATTGAGGAATACACTTCACAGATGTGAAAAATGATTCTGGAACTCAGTCTCACTCAGCTTAAGAACAGTTTCCCAGGTGTCCCCTTTCCTCTTCCAGAGCCTGCCGTGGTGGACGCTACGCTGTGTGCACATTCACCAGCAGCTGCTGGAGGAGCGCTCGCCCCAGCTTCTCACAGTCGCCGGACTCTGCGCTGATGAAGGTATGTGGGACGCTCGGTGGACATGTCGCTCCGCTCTGGGATGTTCCTTGCAGGTTTATTCCTCCATGGGTACGTGTGCCTTTGGTTTGCAGCTGCTTCTTTGTTTTCTGGATGTAAGAAATCGTTATGATATCAGATTACAGAGTTCCTTAATGTCTTTTGAGTTTTAAAAAAGGCAAGCACTGTCATCTCTTTTACCTGCTTGGGTGATTTGTTGGATGAGTGTGTAAGTTACCGTGATCTTATCACAGCTTGCTTAAAGGTATTTTATTTTACTTTATTTTGTTTATTTATTTTGAGTTGGAGTCTCACTCTGTCGCCCAGACTGGAGTGCAGTGGCACGCTCCCAGCCACCGCATCTTCACCCTGCTAGGCTCCTGTGATCCTTCCACCTCAGCCTTCCAAGTAGCTGGAACCACAGGCGCACACTACCATACCTGGTTAATTTTTTATTTATTGTAGAGATGAGGTCTCGCCAAGTTGCTCAGGCAGGTCTTGAACCCGCAGGCCCAGGCAATCTACTCGCCTCGGCCTCCCAAAGTGCTGGGATTATAGGCTGAGCCTGCGAGCCCGGCCGCTTAAAGGTATTTTAATATTTTCTCTGTTCTTTAATCTAAGAAGTCTCATTGGAAACAAATGTACACTCTATTTTTTAAGAAAAGTCTTTAACTTGAGATAGAGTAAATTATCCTGAGTTACACAAAAAATAGAAATTAAATATCCTATGTCCTATTGAGTGCATGAAGAAAAGCTTCATTTTTGAAAACATTTGATAGAAAATTCATTTTACTGAGGACGACAATGGGTAGGGAGGCTATTTTCCATTCCATTTCGTTTCGTTGTTAATTGTGTAATATATAATGTACTACAGAAAAGTGCCTAAAACTTAAATAAAAATTAACAGACAGTTTAACCCAAGCACCCACGTGTGCCTCCTGCTGACTTTGTTGCAGACACCCCTCATGTGTCTTAGGGAAGCACTTTGAGGAAGAAGAGGATGGTAGGTACCTTGATACTTGGTTTTCAGTCTCCCTGGGCTTTGGAATGATTGTTCTTGGCAAAAGTTGCCAAACAAAACAAAAACAAAAATAAATTCTCTTGTGGTGAAGGAATACTTGAACACAACTGAACTTGGACTCAAGAATGAGTTTCTGAGTTACAGACGTGGGATTTGACTTTCACTGTGTCTGATTACAAAGCCCACGCTTTGTCCACATCCTGAGAGTTTGGAATGGATATGCGTGTGTGTTTGTCTAAGGGGTGGGTAGTGGTACTTAGTATCCCTCTGTGTAGAGAAGTGGTGGGATGCACTTGATGGAGGTGGTGCGTTCATGAAGGTGTAAAAGAACTCTTGGGTGTGTGTGTGAAATTGCTAGAAGCTCCTGTACCTTTCTAGGGTTGTTTCTCAAGGGTCTATCTATATAGTAACAGGCTAGGCCAGGACACAGTGGAGGGGTCTGTAGCTTGTACAGTAATAAGTATTACTAAACCACATGAAAGATTGAAATGAATTTCTCCGTTTTTATTTTATTCTGGGGCAGAAATACACAAACGTGCTAATCTTAGAGAAATGGATATCAGTACTAGTTCAAACAGAGAAAGTCATCTCCAGCCAGTATAGCAATTGATTCATCTGTGTTGTTTGTGCTGGATTTAATTTACATTCTTTCAAGATTTATGGGTTTTGTAAGGCTGTGGAGCCAGCAAAGGCATGTTAGACCACCTGAGCTTCAACATCCCTTGGTGTCCGAGGGGGACTGGCTTTAGGACCTGACCCCGGTCCCCATATTAAAATTCTTACATACTCTCCTTGTGTATCTTTTTTTTTTTTTTTTGAGTTGGAGTCTCACTCTGTCGCCTTGTGTATCTTTTTAAAAGATGGGAACCATATGGTATGTTTTAGGGAGAATTCCATTCTAAGCGTTAAAATGAAGTTCCCAAGCAGAAGGGGTTACCTAAAATATCTGGAATATCATGACTCTAAGTGACTCATTTCCCAAGTGGTCTCAGTTCTTTTCTGCAGCTTTTCAACATATCATTTGCTTTGCCTTGCAACTAGGAATTTTTTATGTGGCTGTTCTAGGCTAATCGGCGACATTTTTCATTTTATCTAGTCATAAATTGGTCCACTTCAGCTATGTCTAAATAGGTCTGCAGATAGTATTAAATTATAACATATCATGAACAATTTTATTTTAAAATGTTTTATTCTGGGATTTGACCCAAATGTTGGCCAGTCAATTATAACTGAAATACTGTTCAATGTCCAGAGAAGGATATTCTATTTGAAATGTTGCCCTTGAACCCTTGAAGGACCATCAAAAAGTTGGCAGGATTTTTTTCAGTCTATGAAATATCAGCAAAGGATTTTATGAACAACTGTGAGTTTTGTCCAGGAATGTTGCATCAGTACAGTTCAGTGGAACGGAGCCTGTCCTAATGTCAACATAACTTTGCTGGGGTGGTCACATCTATGAAAGGAATAGGTCACAGTCTTGAAAAGCCTGTTCCACAGCACCATCTAAGGCATTCTTTTGGATGTCACACCAAGTTGAAACCATGATTCTCTAAAGGCTGCTTAAGGGCACACAGCAATTTATTGTCTGATCTGATTCCGAAAGCGTGGTCCCTGTCGCACCTGAGTCATGCTATTGCAGTTCACCTGGTGAAGATGAGCTCATGAAGTCACTGTCTAAGGGAAAACAGGCCACAGTGCTCTGTCGAGTTCTGCTGTAACATCTCTAGGCAGCTCTGTGACTCTGGGATTAGGTTGTTTCCACATTGAAAGACTTGTTCAAGAGATTCGTTTCTTGGTGACTGATGCATACATTGATTTTTTTCATACATCTGATAGTTTGGAATGACTGTGATTAAACGTGCTAAATATCATTATCTATAATTATAATTGTCCTTAGGGGTTTCCTTTTAGCATAGCATTAAAATAATCTCATGAGGAGAGCTTTTGGTTTTAACACGTGTTTTATTTATTACTTACTTATTTGTTTGCTTGTTTGTGTATTGAGTTGGAGTCTCACTCTGTCGCCCAGGCTGGAGTGCAGTGGCACACTCACGGCCACCCCAGTGTCAACCTACTGGACTCCAGTGATCCTTCCAGCTCAGCCTTCCAGGTATCTGGAACTACAGGCGTGTGCTACTGCACCCAGCTAATTTTTGATTTATTGGAGAAATGTGGTCTCGTCAAGTTGCCTGGACAGGTTTTGAACCTGTGGGCTCAGGCAATCCACTTGCCTCGACCTCTCCGAAGTGCTGGGATGACAGGCTGAGTCACCGATCCCAGCCCATATAATTAAAAAAAAAAAGTTTATTTATGTAGAGTCGAGGTCTCACCAAGTTGCCCAGGCTGATCTCAAACTCCTGACCTCAGGCAGTCCTCTCACCTCCCAAAGTACTGGGATTACAGGCTAGAGCCACCACTGCGCCTGGCCTTAGCACGTGTTTTAAATGTACGAGTTGACATTTTGATTCAGAAGTTTGTGAATATTCATTTCCACGGAGAACCTACTGATTTATTAAGATAATAAATATATGTCTATTGGGTGAACGTTCTCCCTTTTTTATTTAAACCTCGAGTTATCCAGAGCTGAGAACTTTGTGTTCATGGTTGAATCATTGTTTTCCGTCATTTTTCTGTCCAGCCAGGTCTTAAGTTTTATCAGTCTGTCCCTAAGGGTCCCATATTTATCTCTGTTTTGCTTCTGCAACTTTTATCCTGGTCTGAAATCTTTAGTTTGGAAAGGCCTTTTAGAGATCATCTTGTCTCGCTAAGTTATTTTACAAAGAATTGAGACAGAGAACTTACCAAGAACCAGCACTGTGATCTGGAGTTTCTGACTCTGAGTCTGGCTCACTCTTCTTACCATGACTTTCCCTGAGCTGGTTGGGAGGGCAGAATTGTCATAGCCGATAATGGGAATTCAGCTAACGTTTCCATAGTGTGCACTTTAAGCACTGGTTGAAGTCTTCACATATAATAACCAGCTTATTCTCACAACTCTGTGAGGCAGAGCTGAAGATGGTGTAGTAACAGATATACTGCACTTTTATATGTATATGTATTTTTTTTTTCTTGAGTTGGAGTCTCACTGTGTTGCCCAGGCTGGAGTGCAGTGGCACACTCCCGGCCATTGCAGCCTCGACCTGCTGGGCTCCGGCGATCCTTCCGCCTCAGCCTTCCAAGTAGCTGGAACTACAGGCGTGCACTACCACGCCTGGCTAGTTTTTTAATTTATTGTGGAGATGAGGTCTCGCCAAGTTGCCCAGGCGGGTCTTGAACCCGCAGGCTCGGGCAATCCCCTCACCTCAGCTTCCCAAAGGCGTGGGATTATAGGCTGAGCCACCGAGCCTGGCTGTATATGTATTTTTATGTATTTTATATGTATATGTATTTTATATGTATTTTTTTAGTTGGAGTCTCACTCTTGTTACCCAGGCTGGAGGAGTGCAGTGGCACGCTCATGGCCACCGCAGCCTCGACCTGCTGGGCTCAGGTGAGCCATCCGCCTCAACCTTCCAAGTAGCTGGAACTATAGATGCACACCACCACGCCCAGCTAGTTTTTGTGAGCTCACCTAGTTGCCCAGGCTGGTCTTGAACCCCTGGGCTCAGGCAATCCTCTCACCTCGGCCTCCCAAATTGCTGGGGTTACAGACTGAGTCACCACTGTTTTCAAACAGCTTTTTAAAAGTCTAATTAACCTTCTAGAAGACCTCAAAGTGGACCATTTTACACATTTTACATACATATACCCCTGTGAAATCATCACAATTAAGGCAAGTAATAGGACATAGCATTTTCAAATCTGGCTTTTAGTTCCTTCTCTCTTGCTGATTTTCTGTGTGACCTCTAGCAACTCTCTTGACTTCCACATCGGGGTTTCCTTCCTTATAAAACTATCTTTGAATTCTTTTCATTTCTAGAGTAATGTGATGTTTTGTAGTCCAACTTCTTGCCCATCCTAATGCTGGACTCTTAGAATTCCA